GCCTGATATTTGCACCGTTAATGGGTTAATTGGTCGGCCATTTTTCTGGATTTTGGCACATTTTTTTTTTTTTAGTCAGTAAAGTTGGAAAAAAAAAAAAAAAAAGGGCCGATTTTGCCGATCGGCCAATTTTCGCGGCAATGATGGGCAAATCGGCCGCTCTTTTTACCGATAAAAAAATCTGCGCATGAGCTGTAACCTGGAAGAAGAAGAAAGAAGAAGAAAAAAGAAATAGAAAAAAAAGGAGGAAAGAGGAGGAGGAAGAGGAAGAGAAGAAGAAGAAGAGGAAGAAGAGGAAGAAGAGGAAGAGGAGAGGAAGAAGAGGAGAAGAGGAAGAGGAAGAGGAAGAAGAGAAGAGGAAGAAGAGGAAGAGGAAGAAGAGGAAGAAGAGGAAGAAGAGGAAGAGGAAGAGAGAGGAAGAGGAGGAGGAAGAGGAGGAGGAAGAAGAGGAGGAGGAGGAAGGAGGAGGAGGAAGAGGAGGAGAGAGGAGGAAAGAGGAGGAAGAAGAGAAAGAGAGAGAGAAAAGAGAGGAGAAGAGGAAAAGGAGGAGGAAGAGGAAAAGGAGGAGGAAAGAGGAAAAGGAGGAGAAAGAGGAAAAGGAGGAGAAAGCGGAAAAGGAGGAGAAAGCGGAAAAGGAGGAGAAAGCGGAAAAGGAGGAGGAAGAGGAAAAGGAGGAGGAAGAGGAAAAGGAGGAGGAAGAGGAAAAGGAGGAGGAAGAAGAATTATTCCAGCCCACTATTATATTTTATATGAAAAGTCTTGCGGTTTCAACATTGTACCTATTTGTATCCGAATAAAAACATCTGTATCCAAAATGGATACAAATCGATACATTGTTGCAACCACAATACTTTTTAATGTCAAATATAATAGCGGAGCTCTCTGCAGGGACAGAAGTAATTAAATGCCGGCTGCAGGAGGGATGAAAATTGGCCGATTTTTTTTACCGTTGGTGGTAACGTCGGCCTATTGAACGACCGATTTTTCATTTTCTGTTAAAAAAACGGCCGGTTTTTGACCCATCTATGGCCTGCATTATATAAAATAGAAAAATTGCCATCCTGATCGAATATAGTTATATCCTTATAATATCTCCGTCTCACTTCTAATTAAGTGTGGATTATAAACCCAGCAATACTTCAAAAAAACAAAATGGCAGTAGACTAGTGCAAAACCTGTCTAAAGATTGTAATAAATCACAATCGGAGTAATTTGTCACTACATAGGTGAATGCAATATTGTATTTATTTGATCTCATAGATCATAGAAAAGGTAGACAAAGACACAGTGAACATAATAAAATCATGTTATAAAATCAAAGAATTAAAATTGGAAAACCGTTCGGCGTCTTCAATTTAGCTATATGGGTAATAAATGGTGGCAGAGATCTTCCCGAAGGTGCTACTATATTCTGACAGCGGGGACGATGAGTTTTCTCAGCTAAGCACACCCTCGTGCCTGCATATACCGTTGGTGGTAACGTCGGCCTATTGTACGACCGATTTTTAAGGGCAGATGGATTTCAGGAAGTAAATGCTACATGAATAATCTGCCCTTACTCAAGATGGCCTCAGCCAGAAATGCTAGGACAGGGGTGGGCAAACTTTTTGACTTGAGGGCCGCAATGGGTTCATATATTGGACCCGGGGGCCGGACCAAGAGTAGATGAATGATGTGTATGTGTCATCCATAGTAAGTATAGTAATATTCCCCCATAGTAAGCATAGTAATTAATCCCCCATATAGTAATTCATCCCCCTATATAGTAATTCATCCCCCATAGTAATTCATCCCCCCATATAGTAATTCATCGCCCATAGTAATTCATCCCCCATATAGTAATTCATCCCCCATATAGTAATTCATCCCCCCATCCCCCCATATAGTAATTCATCCCCCATAGTAAATTACCCCATCCCCCTATAGTAATTCATCCCCCCCATAGTAATTAATCCCCCATATAGTAATTCATCCCCCCTATAGTAATTCATCCCCCATATTAATTCATCCCCCATAGTAGTAATTCATCCCCCCATATAGTAATTCATCCCCCATAGTAATTCATTCCCCATAGTAATTCTATAGTAATTCATCCCCCCTATAGTAATTCATCCCCCATATTAATTCATCCCTCATATAGTATTTCATCCCCCACAGTACTATTCCCCCCCAAGTAGTAAGCCAAGTCCCCCCTGTGTCAATTCACTTAACTTTGCTCCGCGCGTTCCTCTCGCCGTGTTCCCGCGCCGTTCCGGTCTTCAGGGCGGACTGTGAGAGGAGCCTAGCTCCCCTCACGTTCGTCACGCTGCCCCCGCCTACACACATCCTGACAGCCAATGTATCACGCTCCGCGGGCCGGATTAAAAGGTCCGCCGGGCCGTATATGGCCCGCGCGGGCCGTAGTTTGCCCATTGCTGTGCTAGGATGTGTTTTGCAGAAGTGATTTCGCAGCAAAATAAAGCATGGAGACATGGATGGGTGGGCGAGTTTGCTTTGAATATTAGAAATGAATGAAATCGCGTTTTTAGTTTGTGGTGCTCAGATACAGTGTAGTTCCGCTTTATTGAAAAAAAAAATGGGTGTAGTATCACTTTAAAATTCCCCAGAACAAGTCCAAACTTTCCCCAGCAGTCAGCTGCAGAGAGGACCGGTGTGCTCTCTGTGGTAGAAGTGGCCTCTCTGCAACAAACACCCCCCACTGACAGCACTAAAGCCCTCCATTCAGCGGGAAAATGTGAGCATTGCTGATCTAGAGCTCTAGCGGTCCCTTCATGAAAAGTCCCTCTGCAATGCTGTATCAAGATCCCCACTGAGTGCACTCAGTCCTCTCTGAAGCCGAATTCAACAGTAGAAGAGTGTTTGGGCGAGTTTGACACTTGGGAACAATTTATCTAATTACAATAAGACATTTATATTTCAGCTTTTTGTTCCCATGCTGTGTATCTAGCTACTTTAATTAAAAAAAAAACAAAAAAAAAAAAAAACTTCACTTGAGGTTAAAAGGACAAATATTTTTTTTAAGTTAAAAGCAGAGACGGTTTTGGATTCCTGCCCAGTCTTTGCTTCGGAAAAGATTTATAATCTGTCATTAAATGAGCAATCTTTTTTTTCTCATCCGATTGCTGCAAGTGATGCTCTGATATGCTGCATTGGTGAAGGATCTGATTGATGCCACTGCACTCGGATCAGCAGGTGGCAGGCAGTTGCAAGAAGAACAAAGTTTGTGAACCCTTTAAAGCAGTAAGGAAAAAAAAACATCAATTAGGCTTTAAAATGTTGCTACAAAGAAACTGCTGATCCAACTGAAATAATTGAAGCCCTATTACAGACAAAAAGTTTTTTCTTTTTAATTTTCAAGTATGTAAACAGAATTATTGTAGAACTTTCATTGCCACCTGTGTCCAGTTACACCAGGACAAGAAAGGAGAGGGTGGAGGTGTCACCAAAACAGGAAGACAGAGAGAAATAAAAGGCATAGATGTTCTTGGCACTCCAAACTCTACTAAACAAATCCTTAGTTTGTATCTTTGCCCACATATAAATGTAAAAAAAAAAAAAAAAAAAAAAAAAAATTTTATTTGCCGTATTTTTTGTTCCATAAGACGCACTCCCCCCCCCCCCCAAAAAGGGAGGAAAACGTCAGGGCGTCTTATGGAGCGGCCGGTCTGGTATTTCCGCCGCCGCCCATGTCAGAATACCGGGCCGGCCACTCAGCTGTTCTCTGCAGCTGGACCTTACCTGTTCCTCGGTCCAGCGCTGTGCAGTCTTCCCGTGCCGGCATCTGTGACAGCGGGTGCCCACTGCACATGCGCGAGAAGCGCTGGGCTTTGTGAATGGTCCGGCATCTTCTGGGACACATGACAGGTCCCAGAAGACACCGGGACATTCACAAAGTGCAGCGCTTCTCGTGCATGCGCAGTTGGCACCTGGCTCTTCACAGCCGGGTGTCCACACTAAAGGGAGGACAACTCCGCGGAAGTGGGAGTGGGCACCTGTCAAATTCAGGTACCTGCTACCCCTCCCTCCCCAAAGGTCCACAGTCTCTTGGTCATCCCCTGTACTGTCTGCAGTCTCTTGCTCATCTCCTGTACTGTGTCCGCAGTCTCCGGTCGTCTCCTGTACTGTGTCCGCAGTCTCCGGTCGTCTCCTGTACTATATCCGCAGTCTCCGGTCGTCTCCTGTACTATGACCGCAGTCTCCGGTCGTCTCCTGTACTATGACCGCAGTCTCCGGTCGTCTCCTGTACTATGACCGCAGTCTCCGGTCGTCTCCTGTACTATGACCGCAGTCTCCGGTCGTCTCCTGTACTATGACCGCAGTCTCCGGTCGTCTCCTGTACTATGACCGCAGTCTCCGGTCATCTCCTGTACTATGACCGCAGTCTCTGGTCATCTCCTGTACTATGACCGCAGTCTCTGGTCATCCCCTGTACTATGTCCGCAGTCTCTGGTCGTCTCCTGTACTATGTCCGCAGTCTCCGGTCATCTCCTGTACTATGTCCGCAGTCTCCGGTCATCTCCTGTACTATGTCTGTAGTCTCCGGTCATCTCCTGTACTATGTCCGCAGTCTCCGGTCATCCCCTGTACTGTCTGCAGTCTCTTGTTCATCCCCTGTACTGTGTCCGCAGTCTCTGGTCATCCCCTGTACTGTCTGCAGTCTTTGGTCATGTCCTGTACTATGTCCGCAGTCTCTGGTCACCTCCTGTACTATGTCCGCAGTCTCTGGTCATCTCCTGTACTATGTCCGCAGTCTCTGGTCACCTCCTGTACTATGTCCGCAGTCTCTGGTCACCTCCTGTACTATGTCCGCAGTCTCTGGTCATGTCCTGTACTGTCTGCAGTCTCTTGGTCATCCCCTGTACTGTCTGCAGTCTCTTGCTCATCTCCTGTACTGTGTCCGCAGTCTCTTGGTCATCCCCTGTACTGTGTCCGCAGTCTCTTGGTCATCCCCTGTACTGTGTCCGTAGTCTCTGGTCATCCCCTGTACTGTGTCCGCAGTCTCTGGTCATGTCCTGTACTGTGTCCGCAGTCTCTGGTCGTCTCCTGTACTGTGTCCGCAGTCTCTGGTCGTCTCCTGTACTGTGTCCGCAGTCTCTGGTCGTCTCCTGTACCGTGTCTGCAGTCTCTGGTCGTCTCTCCTGTACCGTGTCCGCAGTCTCTGGTCGTCTCCTGTACCGTGTCCGCAGTCTCTGGTCATCCCCTGTACTGTCTGCAGTCTCTTGTTCATCCCCTGTACTGTGTCCGCAGTCTCTGGTCATCCCCTGTACTGTCTGCAGTCTCTGGTCATCCCCTGTACTGTCTGCAGTCTCTGGTCACCTCCTGTACTATGTCCGCAGTCTTTGGTCACCTCCTGTACTATGTGTCCGCAGTCTCTGGTCACCTCCTGTACTGTGTCCGCAGTCTCTTGGTCATCCCCTGTACTGTGTCCGCAGTCTCTTGGTTATCGCCTGTACTGTGTCCGTAGTCTCTGGTCATGTCCTGTACTGTGTCCGCAGTCTCTGGTCGTCTCCTGTACTGTGTCCGCAGTCTCTGGTCGTCTCCTGTACTGTGTCCGCAGTCTCTGGTCGTCTCCTGTACTGTGTCCGCAGTCTCTGGTCGTCTCCTGTACTGTGTCCGCAGTCTCTGGTCGTCTCCTGTACTGTGTCCGCAGTCTCTGGTCGTCTCCTGTACTGTGTCCGCAGTCTCTGGTCGTCTCCTGTACTGTGTCCGCAGTCTCTGGTCGTCTCCTGTACTGTGTCCGCAGTCTCTGGTCGTCTCCTGTACTGTGTCCGCAGTCTCTGGTCGTCTCCTGTACTATGTCCGCAGTCTCTGGTCATCCCCTGTACTGTCTGCAGTCTCTTGTTCATCCCCTGTACTGTGTCCGCAGTCTCTGGTCATCCCCTGTACTGTCTGCAGTCTCTGGTCACCTCCTGTACTATGTCCGCAGTCTTTGGTCACCTCCTGTACTATGTCCGCAGTCTTTGGTCACCTCCTGTACTATGTCCGCAGTCTCTGGTCACCTCCTGTACTATGTCCGCAGTCTCTGGTCATGTCCTGTACTGTCTGCAGTCTCTTGGTCATCCCCTGTACTGTCTGCAGTCTCTTGCTCATCTCCTGTACTGTGTCCGCAGTCTCTTGGTCATCTCCTGTACTGTGTCCGCAGTCTCTTGGTCATCCCCTGTACTGTGTCCGCAGTCTCTTGGTCATCCCCTGTACTGTGTCCGCAGTCTCTGGTCGTCTCCTGTACTGTGTCCGCAGTCTCTGGTCGTCTCCTGTACTGTGTCCGCAGTCTCTGGTCGTCTCCTGTACTGTGTCCGCAGTCTCTGGTCGTCTCCTGTACTGTGTCCGCAGTCTCTGGTCGTCTCCTGTACTGTGTCCGCAGTCTCTGGTCGTCTCCTGTACTGTGTCCGCAGTCTCTGGTCGTCTCCTGTACTGTGTCCGCAGTCTCTGGTCGTCTCCTGTACTGTGTCCGCAGTCTCTGGTCGTCTCCTGTACTGTGTCCGCAGTCTCTGGTTGTCTCCTGTACTGTGTCCGCAGTCTCATTATTTGGATGTCCAGAAATGAAATGGATTTTTCATTCATTTGAAAAGGTAAAATTTTAAGTTAAAACCCTTTTCACCTAATGTTTTTATAAACTCAGAAAATTCCTGAATAGATCCTGTCCACAAAAGAAAATCATCATCTATGTAGCGAAGCCACAATAAGATGCTCCACCAAAATTTGCAGAATCTCTCATCCGAAAAAAGCATCCCCCCAGGTACAGGTTCGCAAATGATAGGGCACAAGAAGTCCCCATCGCCACTCCCTGTACCTGGAGGTAGTGGGGAGTCGTCTAACGTGAAAACATTCCTGGTCAAGATGTGTTCCAGCAGAACGAATACAAAATCACGAAATGTATGTGCCTCTAGACTGGTTATCATTGGCTGCCACTTCCCAATGTAAGCCCAAAAATAATTTTTTTTTAAATTATATGTACATGTTATATCATTTTGTAATATGTAATTGATTGTACACATTTTCATGTATTTTATATATAGAAGTACTGCTTCCCTTTACAAAGAAATCACAGTCCTGAAGAAGCCATACACAGGCGAAACACGTTGACCGTTCCTTACTGTGTAGTTCTACTTTTTTAAAGGAAGAACTATTCCACATGTTTATATGTACTACATAAGATATAAAGAGTAATGCCAGGAATGATTCCCCTCTTTAACAGGGTGTCCTGGATTTTAGGTTTTATCTGGTCTGTTATGATCTTTATGTAAATAAAATTGAAATTTTTTACATGATAGTTTGGTCTTTCACTGTGCCTCAAAAAGCCACCATTTTGGTTGTACAATCTTTGCCCGGCATTTTTTTCTATATAGAATGGCTGTGGCACCAGGAAGCCTAGTATTTTGCATAAGATTTGTCATTACTTCCTTTTGTTAGAACATCCTGTGACTAGTACAGGGAGTTGGAGGAAATTTCCCCAATGAGCAATAAAAACATACTAGATGTTCTAAGGCCTTGTCTCCATGGGGGGCAAATAGAATAGATTTCATGCATTTTTCCCCTTGAACTGCCCAACTACTTCACATGACCACAATGTTGTCACATTATCTAATAGGATCTACAGAAGCGGCAACTGTCTAGGCTCTCAGTGGCACGCTGAATGGCCAAGTCAGCTGCTGATTATGCATCTGGGTGAATTCTGACACTATTGTCAGGATCCTTCCACAGCTTTGGAGCAGCTCTGTAAAACGTCAACAGACCGCAAGCTTTAGGCTGATTCTGGGTCACAAGAGAGCACAAGTAAATGTACTCCTGTGGCCAGGGGTGGACAGACAACTCATAGGGCCGCCGGGCAATAGGGGATCATGGGGCCCCTGTGTCCTTGCCCAAACTCAAAAAAGCCTATGAAAAAGGTACCAGGGGCATCTCATGGGGCCCCCTATTGACCTTGGGCAGTGCCCAAGTTTCCAAATGGTCAGTCCGCTCCTGCCTGTGACCCACAAGAGAAGTAGAACCAAAACAGCTTTGGTCATACTTCTATTTTAACAGCACTTCCATAGAATTAAATGCTTCCAAACCGCTTTACTGCAAAAAAAAAATAAAATGGTGTTTTCTTCTGGTGGTTGTGTTTTTAGCTTTCATGATTTGTTTCCTGGGTTATTACCCAGAATGCCTGTAGGGGAAGTCAACAATAACATTTCGTTGAGCATAAAGATGAGCAATAATGTTTTAAAACTGCATGTAAAAGCAAAGCCCATTTTCAAAGTGGTTGCAGGTGAAGGCGTTTTAATGCTCATGATACAACCCCCATTCCGAAAAAAAGTGCTCAGCACAGTGTAACATCACCTCGTCTTTCACCAACACTCTGTAAACGTCTGGGAACAGAGGAGATCAGTTGCTGGAGTTTTGGGAGAGGAATGTTGTCCCATTCTTGTCTGAGCATATGCTGCTCTAAAACCTGGATGTATCTTTCAGCATTGACGGTGCCATTCCAGATGTGCAAGCTGGCTATTCCATACAAACTAATGCGCCCCCATACCATCAGGCTTTTGAACTGAGCGCGGATAACAAGCCGGAAGGTTCCTTTCCTCTATAGTCTGGAGGATGCGGTTCCCATGGTTGCCAAAAAGAATGTCAGATTTTGATTCATCTGACCGCAGAATAGTTTTCCACTTTGCAACAGACCATTTTAAATGAGCTTTGGCCCAGAGAAGAAGGGAACACTTCTGAATCATGTTCAAATATGGCTTACGATAGAGCTTTACCTTGCATTTTTGGATGGCTCAATTGTATTCACAGTGGTTTTTGGAAGTATTCCTGAGCCTATGTCCATCACAGAATTATGCCCGTTTTTACCCTCCCTGGAGGTATTCCCGAGTGTCGCTCGGGGTAAAGTTTCAGCACCACAAGCACTAACCCCGAGCTACACTCAGGAGTACCCTGCAGCGTTTCTCCGGGATCCCTTCTGCACTTACCTTGTCCTGCGCTCCCGCGATGTCCCCCCTGCAGTGTCCCCGGCCATCTCCTCCGGCCAATGCCGGCATCTGTCTTCCGGGATCCATTCCCTGCGACGTCGGGACGTACGGGGGACGGAACAGTAGGATATTTCAAAATGTCAAGAAGTGACATTCACTAAAACCACATAGTATAACATTCCTGTATCAACCCATTTCACATACATTTTGTCCCGAGTGCTTTGTCCGGCACCCTGCCTGCATTCTTACTGTTCTTTCTGCCTGGAAACTGAGAAACGTCCATGGCGTCCAAAAAGCGTCCCTTTAGGTCAAAAGCGGTTTTAGACCGGCTAGAGAACAGTGATAGTAAATCAGAACCACTTGCAGAATTGAGTGATGATTCGTGGGGGAAATTCATCATCAGACACTGAGTGACACTCAGTGATGTGCAAACTTGGCGATATATTTCAAATTTCAGTGTTTTTGGTTTGATTATATTATTGAATTAAATGTATTATTATTTTTTATGATTATTTATTAAAATTATAATTTATGATTTCGTGTTTCAAGTTTTATCATACCCGGGATGTTTACTAGACTCTTGTTCGGACAGATTTCAGTGAGTTATTCCTAAAAATTACAGCCTACAATAAAAAACTACATATTTCCATGCAAAAAAATGTACCCCTTTGAGCACAGAAATATGGACATAATCAGACAGCTAGGGAGGCTAAAGCAGTGCCATCTGAGGACCCAAAGATCAAGGGCTTTTTTTTTGTGTTTTGGCCTTTGTTCCTTTGCACAGAAATGTCTCCAGATTTGCTGCATCTTTTGATGATCATATATACTATAGATGATGATATATTTAAAAGAGAAGTATGGCTTTGTTTTTACTTCTCAAATCATAGTTACCTAGGTGGATACAGAAGCGCTCTGATGCTGCATCTGTCCCCCGCCAGCTCTACGGGTGACAACTCAGCAATCACATGACCACTGATCGCTCAGTTCTCTCCGCCGCTGTGAGCAGAGAGCGTTGACTGTCAGTCACCGCCGTCTTCTCTGCCCTCCCCATGCTCACTGGAGTTCTGGCCTGTGGAGTGGAAGGGAGCGACTGGTTCAGGCTCTCAGTAGATCGCTGAGAGGCTGAGCCAGGTGCCGCTCCAGACTTTGGAGTGGATCCTGACTTTAAATTTGGGATCTTTCCCCAACCTGAACCGGCTGAGTGAGGTCATCCCACTGTCAGCTGAAAATGGGTCACAGGACTGCAGAATGAAATATACTCCTGTGATCCACGAGTTTTGGCTGTAATTCTCCTTTAACCACTTCAAGTCTGGACACTTTCACCCCCTTCCAGTCAAGACCAATTTTCATTTTTCAGCGCTATCACACTTTGAATGACAATTGCGCGGTCATGCAACACTGTACCCATATGGATTTTTTTAGCTTTTTTGAGACAGCTAAAACTTTATTTTGGTGGTATTT